ATACATTCTCAAAAGCATTGCAACACGGAAATACTTAACACATTTCTTAGTGGTTACTTTGAGGAGAAAACCTTATGAGATGGGGTCTTACTTCTCCTTTTGTTTATGGAGTATGTGTCATTAATGAACTTTAATTGAACCTTGGACTTTTGACATAGATTTTGACATAGGCTTTTGACATCTTGTGGTTAGGCACTGGCTTCCTGTTTCTTTTGCAAGTTCCAACTCTGTTTATGTGGCTTTTAATATAGAAGTAAAAGGGCTCTAAGAGGCTGTCCAGCCTGACCCAGTAGGTTTCACACTTAATGTCTAAATCTCACTTTATGTCTGCTTTAACTGGGTCATATGGATGCCCACTTAAGTCCTCCAGATGCCTTGATTAGAGTGGAGAAACCTTTGAATATTAAAGTGCCATGAAATTCACTGGATGATCTTGGATCCGCCTACTTTTCATCCAATCCAAGAACTGTTATGGGAACAACACATGGAAGAAGTTATAGGAGGGAGGATTTTATCACAGAGCCAGGAAACACGCAGGGTGCTAGATTAAATCCCAGGCAGATTGAATGTCTATGGAGATTCTCAACCATCCATGTCATGGTTGTCCCAAATATCTTCAGTTCTGAAGAAACTTCTCGGATGAGAAGCAAAATGTTTTCAAGGGAAAAAACCAAGGAATCCAATTGCCTTTTGGAAAAGTATCTTTAGGTCACTCAGAAAGGCAGTTCACTACCTGCAGGTCACAGAAGGGACCATACATTCCTTTCCCTTCAATCAAGCCTTATCCTCCAAGTTAATTCCTCAAATTCACCCCTCTCCTTTTCTCTTTGCAGGCACTTCAGTGCTGGAATTCAACCTTGACCAAAAATTGCTTCTGGCTGGTTCTGTGGATGGTTCTATGATCATATGGGACATGGAAGATTTTACTGTGCAACAGGTCCTAACGGGACACTCTGGTGAGGCTCCAAAAGGCCATTTTTACAGCCAACCTCCATCTTTAGTTGATCCCAGTTATGATGGTGCAGAAAGCAGATCAGGGTTATTTAGGTTAACTAGCAGTAAACCCTTTGGGGATAATCTCAGCGGCTGGATTCAGTTCACACATTAGGCTAGGCTAAGATAGGTTGTGATTCAGCCTGTTGTGGGAATACAGCAACCCTTGTAGTCTTATTAGCACGTGATGTGCACCAGGTCATCAAAAGATTTATTTGTATAGGCAGGGCACAGCATGTTCCATGAATACAGGGATTTGTTTTAGAATTAAGCAAGTAGCATGAATTTGGTGGGTCTGTCCCTAGGTGGAAGGATGCCAAGAAAGGGATAAACCTCTCTTGGCTGATTCTGAATTGCCTGTATATATAGAGTTTTCTGAAACTGAGCTATAAGTTCCATTTCAAACTACANTGAGTTTCATGTTTAATGAATAAAGTATAAATAACAACAACAACAACAACAAAAACAATAATAAACACGACGTGCTTGTACAAATATTCCAACAGGCACAAGATTGGACCTTTGCAAAGAGTGTCAGAGTTTAACACCCCCCCACACACACACACATCCCCATTCCTCAGTGCTGTCACTCAAATGGCACTCCATGCTCCTGAATACACAATCCTGATTACGTGTGGATGCATCATTTCAGAAACCGAGCAGCGTTTTGCTCAAAGACAAAGTCTAAAAACAAAAAGACCATCCTTGTTCCGCAAACTTCCAGGATGAAGGAAAAGAAAGGGAGGAGGGAGGGAGGGGAACCAGGAAGGCAAGCAATTCCAAAGAAGAGGCATGCTTAAGGCTGCACCTTTTCATCCAACAGGATTTTAAAAAAAGGTTCGGTGTATTTGCCAATCCCGGTGAAGGGGGGGGAGGGGGAGGAATCAAAGTTCCCAAACTTGCCAAATCTGAATGAAGACTATCCCCAAATCCCGTAGGGTGCTAAGTTTTTCCAGAACTCCCATCATCAGACAAGAGTTGGGGGGGAAAGAAGTAAGGATTCTCAAGCCCAAGATTTAGCCCACAGCCATCTTACTCACTTGATCCACCGAGATGAAAAGGGATACTATCTGGAGTAGCGCCCTTGGGTAAAATACTTTGACAAGTCCTCCTTTCTAAACAGCACCCCTCCGTGACACGACACGACGGCAAACACACCGTTTTAAGAGAAAGGGTGCGTCTCCCCGTGCAACGCCCCGCATAATCCGTCGTCCCCTTGGATGGGAACGCAGACACAATCTCAACGCTCGCCGGGCGAAAACGTTGCGTTGGGCCAACGCAACTCAAGAAGTCCTCTGCGGATTCCCACGGGTATAGAATTCCCTTCCTTTACTAAGCCTCCTGACCAACTTCACCGCTCCTTTTTTCCTCCCCGAATCCAGCGTCAAGTGGGAAGGTTACTACTGCGGCTCCAGGCTGATTCGCAGGTGAGAGAAAGGCAGCTGGTTTACGGATTGATCCACATCCCAGAAGGCCGGTCATTCTTAAAAGCTTTATTGTAGCCTTAGAAGCACCTCTGGGGTGCATTAGAGGCAGGAAAAAAAAAGTCTGCCAAGGAGTTTATGGAGGATTAATTTGAGGCGATTATCGGTTCTTGTTCATCATGCAAATCAATACCACGGCGAAAAGCTGCCATCAACGTAATCGGAGGAGGAGGAGGAGGCTGGGGATAGGTTGCCGTGTGTGTGGCTAGCCAGCTTAACTCCCATCCTGGTTGCAAATACTCATGTGCGTTAAAGAATATATTCTATATTCTATATTCTATATTCTATATTCTATATTCTATTCTCTATATTCTATATTCTATATTCTATATTCTATATTCTATATTCTATTCTCTATATTCTATTCTATTCTATATTCTATATTCTATATTCTATATTCTATATTCTATATTCTATTCTCTATATTCTATATTCTATATTCTATATTCTATATTCTATATTCTATATTCTATTCTCTATATTCTATATTCTATATTCTATATTCTATATTCTATATTCTATATTCTATT